TATACACAGTCATGTAATGACGTCATCGAATTTCTCAGAAATATGTGATCACACGAGGAATGAGTGAACAAAGGATTTCCAAAACAAACATAAATTAAGGACAGAAAAAACATTATTAAAATACTATTTCATTAATTACGTTTTGAAATTAGAAATAAATTAAACTATTTTTTTAAACCAAAAAAATCTACGTTTTATCCAATCAATTTTTTATGCAATCACGAAATAATAATTAGTTTTTCACTAACAAATTGTAAATTTGATACATTTCATCGCAATTTATATTTTCTTAGAGAATTTGGAAGCAAATACTTCGAAAACTCACCTTATAACAATTTGCTTCGTGCAAAAATAAACTTGCTGTCTGTATAAAACGTGTGTCATCCACCAATGGCCGCGTGCTTGTGAGCGTCTCCAATCGCTGTGTGCGATGACGAATCAGCAGTATTCACTGGTTCTGTGAAAAATGGCGCATACAATGTTTTTGATATAGCAAACCAAGATGAAGTTGGCCAACATACAATTGTAAGAAATGACTGATATTCAAATTGAAAAAGTTGTTAATATTCCTGGACAACAGTTTTTCTTTAATTTATTCCTTCTAAAGACGATATTTCTAATTCATTAAAGTTTATAATAATTTAATGGATTCTGACAGAATAAGGAGAGACAGAAAGTGGAATAAGGAGAGAGTTACGTTTTGGTATACCAAGCTTTATGTTTACATCATTTCTTCATTTTAATCGAAAGAACATGAGTACAACACTTTATATGATTTTGCAAAGTTTTCGATGTTCGTTATGGCATTTGTTTCGGTTTAATCGTCATAAGTCATGGAACAATTAATTTGTTTCCTGCATCAAAGCCAATTACCTCGATTTTGTGGCCAGAGAAGCTAAAGCTGAAAATTAAAAAAACCACTCACCTTACAGTCTTTAAACTTTTCATCTGAAACGTTCCAAAATATTCAAATAAAAATGCTCTCATACATTTCTTATTAATAATTTTATTTAGTTTTTTATTGGTTTTTGTCCATAATCCATTGTTAGTTTTGGATTGTTTGAATGTTTTGTATGAATTACATTTTATATTAACAGCTGCTGTTCAATTTTGTTAAAAACTCTCACTTTCTATTATTATTTATTTGAGTTGAATTGGTTTTCACCTCATTTCAATTAAAACTCTGATTTTACTGTCTGACCACTGCACATATGAGCTGAGAGTGACTTTATTTTCGGTTTACAATTACATTATTAAACTCTAATAGTTAATAGTTAATATTGGTTGTAAGTTGGTTGAATGTTTCATCCGAAAATATAATAGTGCACGGACTTCTTGGAAATTGAGCCAAACAAAAGCACTTCTCACTCCGAGAAGACCAAAGCTTCATCAGTTTTTCTTTGAAATAGAGAGAGACGTTCTGGCAGATAGAAGGCTTCTGCTTAACTATGATTTCCCGTCGCCCGGAGGTGAGCTTTCTATATCTATAATGAATTATTTGTAATTGAGATGTCGCCATTAAACAACAAATGGAATTGTGAATATGCGTTCACCGAATTGTTTTCTATTTTGTTTTTGATTAAATCTGTGAAGACGGCGGTTACAATGGTTCAATGGATTAAAAAGGTGAAATTCATGGTATTGATATAACTTTAGATCTAAATCAAATCGTTTTTGAAACACTTCAATTGACGAAGTTTTATCTGTATTACATACACTTCAATTTAACACAAAGTGCCCACACTCGACATTACGCAATTGGAAACTTATGTATTGGTCTTCCAAGACGATAATAATCTGCCGAAAGTGGTTGAAAACACAACGTCACTTTATGTGGTCTTATATTCAAATTATGAAAAGAGATCGCATTTTGAAATTTACATCACGCTTCGAATTAAAGTGCTTCAAAAGAGATTTGTTTGGATAATTCCTGTGTGCAAGCGAAGTGACTGGCTTGTATACCAATTGTATGGTATGATCGACTTTTTCGGGTCACTTTCAATTAGTGATTGGTATTCGCTGCTTTCAATTGATCAAAATCACTAGCAATGATCGATTGACGACTTTCTTTCATACAAAATTGAAGTACAGACCTTCTTTAGTTCAAAGTTGCCGAGAATCGCAATCTGAGCTTGAATTATCACGAAAATCTCAAAAATAATACGAAAGCCTCAAGGAAATCTCAAAAATGGTAGAAGGGACACATTGAGATCTTTTCGAAAATACTAAAATTTTTCAAGAAAATTCCAACCGAAATCGAATTTGTCAGAATTTCATTTTTTTCGGCTTCGAATCAAAGAAAACGCACTGTGATGAGTCAGTCACTTCCTACAACAGGGAATATTTTTAAAGAATCCAAATGAAATACGGTATGGATTAACTATAAACTTGCGAGGAAAAAATGTTCTTCTTTGCGAACATTTTTACCCATTTTTATTGTTGATACTATCTTTTCCCTTCGGAAAATGCATTCTTTCCTTCAATTTAGCTAAAAGTACCGCTGAATTTCCGCTGCTTTGAACTGTTTTTCCATTTCGAAGGGAGAATTGGCGATAATCATACTGTAATCGATGTCATGCCCTTCGTCAAAATGAAGAGTTCCATTTTGTTTTCAAAATCGCAACTGATTTTTATCAATGGCTCTACTATTCCTGTGTCATTTCTGGTAAATATAACGAAACAGCAAAAATATTTACAATTGGTTATGTTTTCAGACTAAAATCTAATATCTTAAATGTATAATAATGGATCGCGTGTGTGTTTTGCGATAAATCTGTGTAACTTCATCATATTAATATTTTGTTCATAGTTAACGTCTCTGCCATAGTTAATCTGAATGTTTGTAAAGTGTTAAAAGTGGGTGACGTTTTGTGTTGATTTATTTTGTCGTCAGTTCCATGCGACATCTCGTCGTAAATATTATTATCTATATAAACAAATACGTATATCATTGTTGTTATTTATGTCGGCCGCTTCCCCAGAGTGTTTGTGTAATGAAAGCCGAGCGGGAAATCAAGCACATATAGCACAATTAACATAAATGACCACATTCAGCAAAAAATTATTTTAAAATACGCATAAATTGTTCATTCTTATCGTTATCTATATGAAATCTTTCATCATTTTATTTTCTCAAGATTTTCACTCAAATCACATGTCATACTGTTGGATTTATCTTTGTTATCTTATCGCTCCTTTTATCTTTACATGAAATTTGTCAAGAAATGAGACTTTTATTTATTATTTATATTATTTCATGAACATTTCTCTTTATCTACATTTAATTTCCGATGAAAATTCAGTCGGACATTTATTTACTCCATGTACTCTTGCTGCTATAAATATAATTAGTTCATTTACTTAATACACAATAAATTTTCTGCTTTCTTTTGTCAGGGTTTTTTTTTGGATTAATTTATTACACACTCTCTGTTAAGTTTAATATAGCTCTGGTCACACTGTGCGCGTATCAATCCCAGGAGCTTTGGAGCTGGCACGTGGGACTGCAGAAATCGAAGCAACACGAATGGAAGAAAAAAGAATTGTCAACTTTGTTTGTACATTAAATTCTTCTATCGGTAGAATCATTCCATTTAGAATGAAAGCTTTGATTGAGCTAGCTGTTCCCTATATCGCATTCAAAAAGTTTAATTCTTGTTTGCTATTTAATTGAACAATAAAATATATGTTAACGAATAAATCTTGCGGTCTTTCTATTTTTTGCTTCATATTCATCCTATTTTATCGAAACAAAATATTTTACTCGAGAAAAATGTGAATGAAAACCTCATTTGGTTAAATAAATTCGTTTTAATTCATTGCAATGCAATATGCATAAGGATACATCGAAGTCAAAATGTATTCATAATTTAAAATTTGAAAATAATTAAACTTTTTTGACAACTGAATGTGTGTCTAACTAACTTCATTCTGCCTCGCGAAACGAAACAAAAGAAAAATGGCGTCCATCGCGCATAACATAGTTGAATTACGCTGACTCTAACAACACACGTCTTTTATACTAAAGGAGTACTCGTTTTTGTACAAGGACAGTGAAGAGGTGAGTTTTCCATAGATTTTCAAGGGTTTTCATATCAATTGCGATAAACAAATAAGGAAAATATGAAGAAACTCAATTGAGTTTCGTTGAGAGCAAAACAATTATGTATGAATTGGAACAAGAAAATCGATTTGAAATATTGTTCAATTTTCACTTGTTGCGTTTTACAAATTAAATTCTTCTTGCTCCAAATGATCAAATCTATTGAAGAATTAATTGAGATTTCGTTTAGCAAAAGAAGCAATGGTATAGGATTATTATAGATTTGTAGATAAATCAGTTATTGACTGGAAAATACCAAAAATTTGCCTAGTGTCCAATGAATTCTAACCTCACATTTGTGTCAATTGATTATTTTTATATCAAACAGAACCACGATGAATCCGTATCAAACAAAAGGTGCTTTGGGTGGAAGAGCTAAGCGCAAATACAAATGCAAAGGAAGACACTCACAAGTCCAAATCAAAGAAGAAGTTGAAATCAAAGAAGAAGTGGAGTCAGGAGATGGTGTTGATCTGATTGCATACCCACCATTGTCACCACAATCACCAGTTGAAGCCGGCGGTACTATTAAATCGGTAAGCGAAAGTGATAGCGAGTATGTTCCATACGATGCTGACTATGTGAAGGACGAGATCAAATCGGAGGAGGAGGAATGTTTGAAGAAAAAGCAAGATGCAGCACCGAAGGCAAGCTCAAACGAAGGTGCAAGTGATGGTCCGATTGGTGAAGATTTATGCGATGAAAGACCAAATTCAAGCAACAATCGTGAACAGCATGCAAAAGGAAAGAAGCCAAAAGGCGAAAAATCAAAGGGTTCCAACAAACCATCGAATGGTCGAGCCTCCATTGGACAGAAAAAGCACAAATGTCATTTCTGTGATTATGTGACAAAAAAGAAATCACATCTCACAATACACATTCGAACGCATACGGGCGAAAAACCCTTCGAATGTGGAGTATGTGCCAAGGCTTTTAAACAAAAGAGTAAATTGCATCGCCATAAGAAAATCCACGGTCCAAAACTTTCATTTCGATGTTTGAAATGTGGTCATCGATACGAAGAAGAAGTTGAAAAACAATCACATGAGGATGGATGTAACCCTCGACGATATGTATGCTATCTCTGTGAATACAAATTCTTCCACCGTGGTAATTTGAAGTATCACATGCAATCGAAGCACACTGGTGATAAACCATTTCAATGTGCTAATTGTGGAAAGAAATTCATTCAGAAAGGTCACCTCAATAAGCATTTGGCAATACATTCCAAACCACACCCATACCGCTGCACACAATGTCATCGACCATTTGCAAAGGAAGACGATAAGGATCAACATCAAGTGCAATGCAAACGTCGTGGATATCAATGCTATCTTTGTAAAAAGATCATGCAAGGTACAACACAGTTAAAACTCCACATGCGTAACCATCACACAGGAGAAAAACCGTTTCCATGCAAATTGTGCGATGCGCGTTTTCCACTGATTGGTGATGCCAATCGACATATGGAAACTGTTCATGGTGCGAAAAAATGATCAATTCATCTATTGTGACTCATCAAATAAATCCGTAAAGCAAATTTCATGAATTCTAATTAATACTTAACCATCTGATGTCGAAAACAGAATATCCACTTGAAATAATGAATATTAGTTTGATTATCGAGAGAATCGTTAATAAAAGATGAATAAAAGAAATTGAATACCTTTATATATGTTTTCACTTTAGAAAAAATACAAATAATTGCATTTATTATGAACTAATTGACTCGAACAGAATGAAGAAATTCGGCATAAAAGATTTGGATATTTAATAATTTAATATTCCCAAAATACAGATTTGAAATTTCCAAGCAAATTCCTCTTTTCTTCCTATGGAGAACGTTACTCGTGAGCTAATCGATTATTATTGACCTATTATTACACTCCAGGCTGATTTACTCGGTTTCAAGTCCCCTGGAATATGAGGTGAAGTTAAAATCAGAATAAGAAATGCACAGTAACGTACGATGCTCCAAAATCGGTGTTGAAACACAAATAAAGCTAGAAAATATCGTTGTCATAAAATCATAATATACTAATTTATTTGCCAAATTATTCTCATGGATTTATTTATCGATATTAACGTTATCTGACGGAATTCTCAGCATTTCTCTATATTATTTGACTCCAAATCGACTTAAATAAGAAAATTATTGTTGTTTTGTGACCAACCCACTATGATTCGAATGGAAGCTTCAAGAGTAATTTAATCGCCCTTTTTTACATATTTAAATGAAAAGCAAATAAACGTTCATTAAAAAGCAAATCATTGTTGTCATATGTTCTAACAAAGTCCATTTTTTGCTTCTAATTTAAAATGATTTTGAACCAAATTTTGAAAATTTCAAATCGTTCAACTTTTTCCTTCTTCAAAATCCTCTTTTTCCATGTTTCAATCCTTCGTATCGCACCTTTCAAATGCTCATTATTATTAATCAAATTAATCGAATTTCGATCATTTTCTTCTACTTCGTCATAAATTTTCTTGACAGAAAAAGGTGCAACTTCAAAACTTTTATACTTTATTTCCGAACCTCCATTTCAGTGACAGCTACCAATTCTCCGGGTTTTGAAACACAGAGTGTGTGAGCTCTTATATTTTGATTTCAATTTTAATCTTTATTAGAATATCTACGTGAATATTTTCATGTAGTTTTCTGAATTGTATGAATGATTTTGAACATTTACCATAGTTTTCATGAGTGTTTTTCATAGTTGGCAGTGTGAATGAATATCTTGACGGAATATCCAAGCGAAAATATCGTAGATCCAACTGGTGCTACCAAACATCCATGTGACAATAATGAACAGTTGCCAAATTCTTTTCAAGTTCATGTTCATTTATTTCCATCTAATTGTTTTAATTTGAAATTTCCGTGGACGAAAGTAAAAAAAAGACCTTTATCAAATCACGCAAAATCTCAAATGCAAACAAATAACTTTGTCATCAAAAATAAAACAAATATGAAACGTTTGTTACAAAGTTGCTACTGAAATTCTTTATTCGAGTATTTTGATTTCAAAATATGGTTTTTGTTTGTTTCTTCGGGTGAGCGAAACAAAATGTGAAATAGACCGTGAGTATTTATCATTTTGCAAACAACAATGTCCAAAGTTGTGCGAGCGAATAATAAAAAAACACAAATCCATCATTCACGAGAGTATTTTTCGTCTGTTCACTTCGCAGGAGGGAAAAACACAACCAAATTGTGGCAAATTTTTTCATTGTTTCCTGTTACTAGTTTCTTTTGTTCTCACTTTCTCTCTTTTTTCCGTCGCTTTGTTCAACGGTGAATAAACAACACTTGACAACTTTTATCTGGATTTGTGTCGTGAACTGAGATCGTAGCGGTGAAAATCGAGTAGAAAAAAGGCGAATACCGTTGGTTACCGACAATAGCTGCTTATGGTTTGAGTTATTTTTGTTCTTTGGTGTATAATCTCAACTTTTCATCATTGTCGCGGTAGTCATTGTTTTCAATGTGCGCGATGTTGTGGTTTTTCAGGTCGATTTTATGATAGAGCGACATACTTGGCATTATTATTATTTTTTTCACTTTGAAAAAGAGTGTAAACATAGATTGACTCCGCAGAGAGTTCAGCGACGGCGACGGCAGCGGTGACGGCCAAACACTGTCCCACGAGAGCGATTGAGATATACAGCAGCTATTAAAAACCACCAGTCTTACCAAGTCAAAGGAAAAAATTGTCATCATCGCTTCTTTGCTCATTGCTTCTTTGCAATCGGTCACAAAAACACCGCCAAAAGAAAACTTTCACCAAAGTCATGAAAATGCGGGCAAACACGCACGGTGTCGACTCCAAGAGATACACTGACATTGGCACCACCGAATGAATTCGGAGATATTATTTCAATAAAAACCATGTGTTCGCCCAGGAAATGAATTACATCGAATGGAGATTTAAGTTGGTTTAAACTTTTTGGCAACACAAAAACATATTACGTTTTTTCCGGTCGATGGAGAAAGTTCGATGGAAACCAACGATGGAGAATGACAACGAATGGGGAATATCGAAGCGTCACATGCGGTGCTAGTAAAAATTTTAGTTTGGTCATTCAGTTTTACGGCAGTCTGTCTTTTTTTTGCATCCAATAAACATTGGAAATGATCGTCCAACATTTGTCAATGGAGAAGAATTGTCTCCTGCCGGACAAAAAATGTGGTTATTTTGGCAATGGTTCCGTCAACTTATTCCCTGTTCACATTTTAAATTATGCACTTTTAATCGATGCCACCTAACCAACTTTATGAATGCCATTACCTATAATTCGATTCATTCGAGTCGACTGCCTCATTTCTATGGATTTTCATACATATAATCTTATGGTTTTATGCTTTAAATATAAACTTGTTCGTCATTCAATGGATCGAGTGTGGGTGTATGTTTGCATAGCGCCATCAATCTATCAATTTTCCATCACACACACACACATACGATGATGTGGTTCGGTATACACTCTGACATTACCATCCTTAATATCCTTATACATAATTACATATGTGTTTTTTTTTAAATACCAGGTATAAATCTATATATAGAAACTTATGGGTGTTGTGTTTTTGTTGTCATCCATATCATTTTATACCTCTCTCTCTCTCTCTCTCTCTCCGACGACGACGATGATGATGGGCAAAGTGTCGTTTTGAATGATGCACAACGGGGGGCTCGGCGGCAACAGAGGAAGCCACTGTATTCACGTGCTCACTTACTGGATGATAATTCAATTTCGCTGTATTGTCATGTGGTGATTAACAGTGTAATTAACGTAATGCCAAAGCATACAATATTTAAAAAGCGATTAAACGACTTTCGTTGATATTCAGAACCGGACGACGATGATGATGATGATGTGATGGCCGACGCTGAATATTCACCTGCATTTTTAAAAAAGAAAGAAAGAAAAAAGAGCACATTGATTCATTATTTACAAGAGAAAAACGGTGTTACGGACCACAAATTATTATTGAATTATTAACATTTATCGAAACGACCGAAACATAAAATGGTAATGTTCAACGTGTAATCGTTGGATTATGATGTTTTTGAACGAAATCAAACGAGGAACATGTTCAACTTTCAACATACATGGAAAATGGCCATTTTATGAAGCAAACCAATGTTATTATTAAGCGAGTTTTTTATGTGTCGAATGGTGTCCTGTAGATTTTCATATTGGAGGACCAAAGATCTCCCTTTAGTGAATGGAGGCAATTTCGGTTCTTAAAATCGGTGGTTTCAATTGGCAGAGGAACAAAGCGGTATTTTCAGTTGATCGGCGATGAAAATGGTTTCCGAAGGTAGGGAGTAAGTATACATGGAAATTTAAAAAAAGTTCATTTCCCAAATAGTGACCCAAAGACTCTTCGATGGTGACCAACTGAACTTTCCTAATGTAAAATCGATTTTCAAAAAAATGAACTGAAGATTTAAAAAAATGAATGAAAAAGTGCCTAGTCATAATCCGGGATGGATTTGGCAATGTGGAATTGGCGCGATACATTGAAATTTCTGCAAAGAATGCTTGTATTGGAGCTTACCAAAGGGAGGACAATAGGTTCCATTTCCGACACCAAAAACTAATGGTTAAAACATTGAACGGAATCGATTAATCCAAACGGTTAAAAAAGTCGAAAAACCCCTGAATTGATTATATTTGGCTGTCAACGGTCTAATGACAATGGCATCGTGTGCCATGTGCATGTGTATAACATGTTCATTAATGTCACATTCCGTGGGAATTAAATGAAAATTTATATTTTGACTAAATCAAAGTGTAAGTAGTGTGGATTGTGCATGTAAAATCGTGGTGCGATGTTTATCGCTTGATTCGAATCGAGTGAACGAGCCATGTACTCGTATATTTTTCAAGCCTCTGTACACGGTTTGGCTTCATTTATTTTTCGGGCTAATAGCATATTAACACGTGCGCACACTAAATTTTATAGATGTAATTGAAAATTGTGGCCGTTCACCATTCATGCGAGCGGGCGCGTAAGCAATGTGATCGACATTAAATGGAAATTAGCTCGCGGCATCCAATCAAATATTCATTTTGTTTTGCCGCACTATTGTATTTCGTAAATAATAATATATCCCAACGCTGGTAACAGTGGCATTTTCATAAAACTATATTGTTCAAATTGAATTTTATATATGGTTTTTCTGCATGAAATAAACGCTCAATTATATTCACCGAAAACAACAACAAAGATGTGGTAATACATCATATTGAAAAGGAAACCGTTCAATCCCCCGGCGGTTTGTTTTATTAAAAATTGAAATAAACATGATGGTCATTGGTCAACGCATTTCCGTCATCAAACATTCAAAATCGGATTTTATTATTGTCGGGCCTCGAAACGGTGAATAATAACAAAAAATAAATCGGTTTTTATTTTCGAGTCGAGGGATGACGGCAATGTTTAATTAGAAAAAATATGAAAATCAATCCACTTACCATTAATGACATGTAGCACAATGGTGACGCTTGGACTGTTGCTTGGACTGTTTATTTTTAAGAATGTTGAGATTTTAATATTTTTTGTTGTTGTTGTTGTTATTTTTTGTTTTGACAGAGGCGCGTGCAGAAATTGTTGGAAAACCGCTTCGGTATCGTTTAAAGCAGGTACATATACTCATCATTCGACTTCATTTTCATTAAGCTATTCAATAATCAAGGCATCCTTTGTTAACATTACAATACACTCTGTGTAAGATAGAAACAAAAAACAAACTACATCGACTTTACATTGTCTTATTATCCATTTGAGTTTCGATGTTTTATTTTGAAAATAACAAAATTACTATATAAATGAAGAGTCTTACAGGAGTAAGACAAACTTTTCCGCACGGTGGTAGATGCGTATTCTATTAAGCTACTTCAAAATAATATTTGTTCGATTTTTCAAGCCTTTCAAGCGGCGTTCAATTGACGTACCACGTGGAAGCGACCCACAACAACCATGCTCAAAACGGCCTGATTCGGGTTCTCTGACCTCAGAAACGTCCAGAAAACATGTTTTTGAGATGTCGTAAATTTTGACACATTGCAATACCTTCCCCTTACACACTAAGTGTGTGCGAAAAAGTAAAAATAAAGAACAGTCTTATCTCTGAAGCGATCGATGTGTTGAAAAATCTCGATAATGAAGTCCAACTGGGCTTATACTTATTAGAGTCAATGAAAGAAGATAATTTCTTCCGAAAAGATGTTTGGAGTAGTTGTAAACAAAAGTTATCTGCTGACACAAAAGTGTACAGCATCATTTGCGATAAAGAGTTGGCATCAAATCACGTACGTATCCATTGCCATTTCAATCGCAAGATCGCCATAGATGGCCAAGCTCATGATGACAACCGAAAAGCCAGCATCATCTGTCGCCGACAAACCAACGTCAAAATTCAAATGCAATGTTTGTGAAAAAATGTTTAACAAAAAGGACACGGCGGAAACACATCATAGGAAGAGTAAAATGCCGATTATGCGATAAAACATTTACTGCATAGGGAAATCTGAATCGTCACGTTGAGGTCGATCACATAGGCAAAAGATACCAATGTGATAAATGTGAAAAGAGTTATAGAAATAAGGAAAACTTGAAACAACACAACCTGAAACACAAACAAAAAGGGACGACAAATTGATCAAATGATTTAGTCTATTTAATTAATTAATTAATTGCCCCCTTTTGTTAATGTTTCTTGCTGTAGTGTATCTTCAAGCGCACTGTGTATCCGTCGAATTTGACTATTAAGACTGTTCTTTATTTTTTATATAGTAATTTTGTTATTTTCAAAATAAAAAATCGAAACTCAAATGGATAATAAGACAATGTAAAGTCGATGTAGTTTGTTTTTTGTTTCTATCTTACACAGAGTGTATTGTAATGTTAACAAAGGATGCCTTGATTATTGAATAGCTTAATGAAAATGAAGTCGAATGATGAGTATATGTACCTGCTTTAAACGATACCGAAGCGGTTTTCCAACAATTTCTGCACGCGCCTCTGTCAAAACAAAAAACAACAACAACAACAATATTAAATATCAAAGTTTGTCATTACCAACACGTGTAATTCCCAGAATCTTTCTTCTTAATCGCCGGTATGAACAATGAGCCCACCTGAAAACGAATCACATATTAGATATTAATATTTTATATTCGAGCAATTTCAACTGCGAGAAGGTCAACATTTGATTCAATGTAGTTTTGAATCGAATTAAGATTAACGGGAGAACAAAAAAAGACCTGAAGAAGAAAAGACTTACCGTTTTCCTTGAATCGAACATCGATTGTTGGGTTAGTGCGAGCGCTTCGTTTTCATCGCTTGCCTTTACCAATTTATTCGAATTCACATCTTGATGTGAGACTTCGGTTTTCCAATGTCGTGTATTATCGGAGAAGATTTGTTGTTGTCCATGGTACCAAATCACGTACAACGGTGGATCGATTGCACCGCTAATGACGCAATGCAATGTTACTCGACTACCCTCCTTTACATAACGCACCGTATCACCCATGGGCTCTGTCTTAGGTACTGCAAAGCAAACACACACACAAAAAAAAATACGAAAACCGAGATAAAATACAATTTTCTGCATAAAATGATGGAAACAGGCGTATGTTTCACATTTACTTACCGACAACATGCAAATAGACACGGGCGCTGATTTTTGGTTCGGCCGAAATTTGACACTCATATAGGCCAGCATCGCGAGCTTGAACGAATTTAATTTGTAGTGTCCATGGTGCATTTGCTGAATTTGTGCTAGTATTGTTATGGTCGTTGTTAGGTTTAGATGCAACGCTGCCGCTTAATTGGCGTTGTCGTTGATTTGATAATGTTGACATGGCTGACGATTGCGATGCACTATTTTCTGTGGCATGATACGCATGAAAGCGTTCATCAGCTATAAATGTGATTTGATCAACTGTCAAAATGTGATCATCTCGGACCCTCACCCACGATACAGATTTGTTAAACACTAGTCTCACCTGGTGAACGAATGAAATAAAAAAGACGAACAATTTGTGAGTAAAAAAAAGAGAGAACAAATGTGGTCTACTCTCGACCATTCGAGGCGAATGGAGGAAAGAGAAGAAAAAATGGTGTGTGCAATTCCAGTGAATGAAAATGACGTCGTAAAACGATGAATTTGCACTGAAACCGAAAATGAAATCCGCTTAAGCTAAATGGTTATTTATTGAGCGAATAACATAATCGTAAAAGCAAATGCTCTATTTTTACTCCGACACCAATGTTCGACACGGGTGCGCCGTTTTACTGTGCATGAACGCTGTATGCCATGCACACGATTTGCTCAACAGATCATTTGCCAGTTAGAGCGAGAGGGGAGGGAGATGGAGTGTGGCGGATGGAGGGTGGAGGGGGTGGTAAAGAGTTGGATATGGCGGAAAATTGTCTGTCGACAGAGAAATTCCATGACCATTTCGATTGAAATGTTGCAAGCTGATGCTGAATTTCGGATGAAATGATCGCATGACCATTTACATGAATCTAATCTTATGGCCAAACGAATTTATGCCTCTTAATATACGTGTATGCATGCCATTGAATGAGCTTCGCCACTGCGATATATACATAGTAAAATGTAATAAAACCAAAAGCTTTTCAATTCAACAGCAGCAACAGCGTCGGCAAACAGCATTTTGTTTAACAATCGACTTAAATGCAATTTTATGCACATGAGAATGCAAATAAAGAATTTTTGTCCGAGATAATTTTATTACCTGCACTATTTTCGAAATATTCATATTCCAACACAAACTCACACTCATTTTTGGCAAGTTTTCTAATATTCATTTGCCAAACTGTTCAACGAATCATCCGACAAACAAATAACACAGTTTTGAAGCGACATTTTTTTTTCTCAACTGGATTATGTGTAATTTAATATCACATTCAGCCAAATACCAGAAGTGAATTCAATTTTCAACGGTTTTATTTACTATTTGATAGAATACAAAGCTTTTTTTGTGCGAGGGGCAGCAATAAAATGAAGAAGCGAAAAAGGTAGTTAAATCTATTTGAAAACAATGAATAATTAAAAGAGATTTTCGGTTTTTGCGAGCGGTATCACGAGCGAGATTGTGCCAACCGAGATGAACAGATACGAAAGGTTTGTATGTGTGCTTTTATCAAAAGAACGAAAGAGAACACAAATAAAACCAGTATGTTTGAGTTGGCATGCGGTTTAAATATCCAACAATTATTAAGCGATAGCCGGTGTGTGAGCTGCATTGTGCACAAGAGACAAAAAACGCTTCACCATGTACCGTAAAATTGTCAAATAAAATTGTTTAAGTTGAGCGCAATTTGTAAAATGTTGGGTTAAACAAGTCAACTTTATCTTCTCCACGCCAGTTAAAACTGAAATACAAACTGAAACTAGTCGTGCTCTATGCTCTCTCTCTCTCTCATCATTCCTCATTGACTCTTGCCAGCATCGTTCACGACGGAATTCGGTTGCACTCGGCCAAAACACGCTTCTCTTTCAACCCAAAGCTCACATAATCGCATTTCTAATGAATTTTCCAACGTTTTCACCGAACAATATAAATAACAACAGTAGAAAACCGCTTGAGCTGCTTGTCGAGAGCGAACGGGATGAAAAGTGGACAGAGTAGCGGCACACTGAATGCAATACAATAGAACGTAATCGTATAATAAATAGGCAAACAAATTGTATTTAGCTAAAACTTAAAATTGCATCTGCACAGACGCACAGCGTCTGTTTGTTCAACTGTTTGCCCAAATGCATCGGTTTTTTCCTTTCTCTATCTACCTCACATTGCTTGGCATCTGTACATCTTTTGTTTACACTATGGATTTGGTCATCAGATTCACATTGACATTTTATGCACACTCATACACATATTGAGATGCTACTTTGTCGCTGTTCGTCTCCTTCAATCCCCGCCTCACTTTACTGTTTATACGTTGTTTCGGAATCAAACAAAATGTAATAAAATATATGTTTTTTATTTTGTAGAAGCAAAAAACCATGCCGAGAGGAAACTCGGCGGAAAAACTACGGCACAGTCAATAATTCGAACTTACGAGCATATGTAATTCGAGAAGTTCAGGAGATATATGGAGTTTAGGGTGTAGAGAAGTAGTTGGCAATTCAATAAGTTTGCTACATTATTTTTACATTCAAATTTTTTTCGTAAAAACCGATGTGTTTTTCAAAAATTTGAAATTTGAAGCATTTTTTTAAAAAGAGAAATTCTGCTATTTTGCAAAGTGAACAGAATTTCGGTAAAGTTCCTTACAATGAGTATCAACTGAAAATCATACACACCCTAATGAAAAAAAACACGAGATAGATAGAGTGGTGTTTTTGCTGTTGTTCTATACTAACAGCTTGACATCGAAAAAATAGTTCATTTGTCCATTTTTCTGTCTATGTTGACCTACCGCAATTTGTTCATTGTGTTGATTTCAAGTTGTGTGTTGTTGATTTTTCATTTTCTTTCTTTTGCATCATGGTTTTTGACTCTTTCTCTCATTCTAACCTACGAAGCCCGTTAATATGGTCGATGGCAAAAATGGTTTATTATGATGTACTGCCCGATCTCTCTCATCGGCTCCGAATCCGGAGAAAGTTTTTCATCCCAATTTGAATATGTTGTGCATCATTGAAACCGCACAATATAAAACAAATGATAAAACTTCCTCAAAAAAATACAGAACACAACAAAACACATATACAGTGGGGGAGAAAATCAACAACTACTCTGAAAGATAAATTTTGCAATAAAAAGATAAAAAAAATACTTTCAAGCACATAATGCTGAAGAGATCGAGAAGGAAAAGAATGAGTTACAGAGAGAGAGAAAGAGTTAGTGTATGTGAGTTGAGAGAAAGATAGAAGGGAAGAGAAAAAGAGAGACCGAGAGAAATGCAGTAAGTGGAACGAGAGAGGCATAAATTGGTGTGCTGAAGTGAATCGCCAAATTGCTTGAAACAGAGAAAGTTAATAATCTCATTTTTCGTTTGTATTTTTGCAATGAGTGTACAAACCACATCATTCATTTCAAATTTATTACCTCACTCTGTTGTGTTGTTCCCTGCCAGTTGATCTTCGTATATAGAAATTTGTGCAATATTTGTATTTTAACTTTTTTTTCCTACACAGTTGTTGTGGCTCCGGTTTGGCCCATATTCACTCTGGTAAACATCTCAACTGTATGCATTTGGATTAGTTGTGCTTTGTTTGAAATGCAATAATTCACTAAATTTTACAAAGCTGAAAAATACAGTGCGAAATAAATGCGGCTAAAGTGATTATGTGCACAATTTACCCCTTCGCATAATGAATTTCAAGTGGAATGAGTTGTACCAAGAGTTTTTTTCAAGAGTTTTAATGAATTTTGAGTGATCAATTTTTAAGAGAATAAACACATTTGTTCCTTATTCGAAATCCAAAATCGTGCAATGTATCTCAACTATCGATTCGAAGTCGAATACGTATAAGACGGACTGTTGCAATGTGTTGAAAATCGATAGTTGAGCAAATATTTGCTGTGCATAGCTAACAAGCCGTTAATTGGATAAATTAGAATACAAGTGTAATGTAACGAAACTCGATCCAATCACTTGAACTGAGTGCGAATAGAGTGGAAACAATCCTGCTACACGGATTTAGAGAAAATTTAAATAAAAATGTCAGCCACTTACTTTACACGGCAGATATGCATTTGTTCCAATTTGTGCGGTTACATTTGTAATTCCGTAATCGGGTTTTGTGATGGACGTGGACGATGATGCGGATACCGAATCGGAAGCGGATGGCGATGAAATTAATGCTGCTGCATGTGGTTGAAATTGTGGTTGTTCTGTAAATCCGATTGTTGGCGATGCGACAGATGCCACAGCCACGTTGCCACTCACCAACGATGCCATTGCCATAACCAATGCAAACGTTTCAAACATTTTTGATGTTGTTCGCATTATTCTTGATGCAATTAAACTATTTAGCCGTCTACGAAACACCGTTCCAACGGACATTTTGTCATTCTGAAATCCACCTGCAGAAAAAAAGAGAGAAAAATACGGTTTGTATTAAATCAAAATATTGTAACAATGCATTTTAAAATTGGTACTGATGTCAAAAGAATGAATAAAAAGCGGCGAGTTGAAGAGAGAGAGAGTGAGAGAGAGAGAGAGAGAGAGAGAGAGGAGTGTACGGTTATATAACGACCAACGACATAATTACTTCCTACTTCGATGAGAATGAAATGGAAAAGTACCGTGTGAAAAGGGCGTTTTTATACACCGCATCCGCTTATACCTTTCTACTTTGAAAGGCAAAGACAAGCACCAAACTTAACAGTTGCATTTGGTATGTACGTAACAGTTACACACTTGATGTGCATGCATGTGTGCGTGTGTTTATGTGCAATTTTAGTCGTGGGAAATACAACAGTTGGCGGATTGGGGCTTTTCATCCGTATTTATGTGCAAACAATGTACTTGAAAATAAAGGACCATCAAAATAGTGAGAGAGAAACATTTTTGTAACATTTTTAATTTCAAAATAATAATGGCCACTTTTTATTCGTTTTCGTTGGGAATATATTTATTTTCGCCTTATAAAATCATAGAATAGACTGGCAATATGGAACTCAGCAAGGCTACTTCACATTTAGCGGTTGTCGGTTTTCATGGTTTCTAGTGAAACTGAGCTCAAAATTGAACTAATAAGTAAAAAAAAAAATCAGTACGGTATATGAGAAAATAGTGATTTTTATACCAAAAATAGAACATTTTATTTTCATCGCATCGAATTTTCAGCTCAATTACGTTATCAATTTCACTGGCAACCACGAAAAGCAAAAACCACTATTAATTTGTGTTTGCGTAATTGATTCCGAGATATTTTTATTTTTGGATGATTATTTACAATTTTTTTGGGGTTTGACACCCACATAGCCTTATATTTTTCGAGCTATTTTCAAGCCGATACGAAATGGGTGTTTTGATCAGAATTTTTTCCTGTTTTGAAGTATTATAATGTATTTCACCTCCCTTTCGCTTGAAAAACTTGCATGTACACAAATTTTACTTATTTAGAATATAAAAATGTCCAAACTTTAAAACTTCCCTTAGAAAAAAATTAATTTTCTCCATAATTTCGTTGTGCCAATAAAATTCTATGAAACTTTTCACCTTCACACCGCCCACAGTTTATTTCGAAACATTATGCATCATTTTTATTCGAAATTATACCGGAAATTCCCACAAACTGAATAAATAAATGAAACGAATTCGGGTGAATGTGAGCGCATGCACTCAAAATGGTGCAGAAAAATAAAAAACTTCACAAAGCATTGTAAATTTTTATTTTTCTCCATAGATCAAAGTAAATATGCGGCAGCAGAAGCGGTTTTTTCGCGTTTTTCCCCATGCACTTTTCAGTTTCGTTAAACGGTTTTGTGAAGTGCAGTAAATAGTAGCTCTCTATTATAGTTGTTGTAGTCAAATTGCGTGCATGAATTAATATGCGTTTTGGGAGTTGATACAAAGCAATGTAAACTGAATAAAAAAACCACTTAATAAATTAATAGCTCCTTGTCGTTTCAGCCTCGTTCTCTGAGCCAAAACAATCAACTGTTGTGCACATTGTTGTCGTTCTTGCTTCATTTTGTGTTGTTCTGCTTTTGAAGTCATTCTAATTAATTTCGTTGTTTCCTCGCGTTTTTCGAAAAACGGAGCAAATTTATTTCACCGCATTTGTTTTATTGGATTTAGTCACAAAAGCAAATAAGCGAATTTTGGCGTCGGAGTGAGGGTGGTGCTTGTGACTAAAAAGCGTTCGCGAACGCGTTCACTGCAATCATACATAATTACCGAGTTTAAGTGGCTAAATTAACGATAAATGGCTATAGTTTGTTGTGCAATAGAATTGTGCACGGAAAGCGGATGGGAAAAATTGTTTTCCAATGCAAATGGGACTTACACACATATAAACATAAAAACCGATTAAGCTTCCTTTTTTGCATTGGCTTTGGAACGAAATGGCAACGACGAACCGGCATGGGTGCATTGGGAGGAAGTTGCTTTGCTTCACCGATGATTTATTCGTTTGAAAATAAAATCAATGTACATGAGCGTTTGGTGTGTTGCCACGTGTGTTGAATTGCAGTCGCAACTGCAGCGAAAGCCTTAATTTCCGTTCAGAGCATCATTATTAAATACACATGTGAATTCCGACAAACACCCATCTAAATTGTGTGCTGTTGACCGACGGTCTATTTTTTTTTCTCTAACCAGCATCCTCCCTTGAACCAAGCCCTCTCCCCACACCGTCTCTTGCATTCATTGCATAAACTAAAAGTGATTTTATTGACCTGATACCGAATAAAACACGTATCTCTTTCGAGCGCGCGCGCCCACAACCCACACACCCGTTAGTTTCATTAAGCGAATGGATAAAATTTATCGATAGAACGAGAGATGTTAACCAAACAGCCATTATTATATTCGATTCATATATTGCAGATTACATTGTGATGCTATCACCCACTACAAAACATCTCTCGTACATCTCCGGAAAATTAATGAGCCGGACCTTACAGCCATGCGACAGTAAATGCATATCGCACCGCACCGTCATAGTCAATAAATTCATTTTGCGCTTGTGATATCGAACATTGTTATTGATGGTGCTGGTGGTGGTGGTGTTGGTGACGGAGGCGGTGGTGGCAGTGTCCATAATAATTTTTTATATGATTTATATCAGTCGCATTCGATATGCTATTTAACAATTCGATTGACCATAAATTTTGCACTTAAATTGAAAATGGATTGTTTGGCGTATTTATAAAATGAAAACACTTTCAAATAATGATAATGAACAACGTTCTTCTTTTGACACTACTGATTTGATCACAAAATCTATATAATCATTCAATTCTACGCATCTCATTCGTTCACTTTTTATTGTATTTTAAAGCACTTTTTTCAACGTCTCAGGAGCTTACGGCTCTTTTTACAAATTTCTACGAACGAACACACCTTCTTTCAACCAGAATTTTTTAACGTAGACGAGAGAAAGAGAACGATAAGGAGAGAGAGAGGAAGAGAGAGAGAAAGAGAGAGAGAGAGTAAGTGGTCCCACTTAAGATAGTGCGTAATATGTATGAGTCACAAAGAATGCGTTTTCATTGAAGTTCGCTGGAAGTTCCGGCAACTCAAGGAGATAACAGAGCAATTGGATGAAATGGAAGTGAATTACACACATTTTTTCCGATTTTTTTGGTATTTTTATTCTTTTATTTCCCATGTCGATGGCAAATGTATAGTCGATTCTCGGTTATTTCACACTTCGATTGTTTGAAGCGGAGCTAATACCGAATTTCGTAGCGGTGCAGTGGAGGGCGCGTAATGAAACTACGTGCCCATCACATTTACAGAACTTTTGGCAACACTGTTCGTAGTGTTTTGACATTTCATGAAATGTGACATTAATGTTCGTTCATTTGAACCGTGTTTGAGTTTTTGAAAAAAAGTGATGAAATTCCAATTTATTATTGTGAGTTTGATATATATTTTATTATTATGATAAAATAACAGTGAAAAAAATGTGTGAAAACATATGTAAGTATTGAAAATTTCAAAAAAATTAGTTTAAATTTCTTGAATTGAATTGGTAAAATTTCTTATTATTTACAAGGTGCGTTGTTCTTTAAGGAGTCAGTCAAAAATATATTTCTTTTTACTACATGTGTTTGTTATGAGTATCTCTGAGCGGTGCAATGTGAGTGTGTAAATGTGTTACGGCTGGAACAAAAATGTGCTAGCGGTGGCACAAGTGTATTTACTCGACCGTAATCGACAGAACGGATAACTAACTTTCAATAATTCTGAAGAAAACTCCATAATATTTTTTAAAAATATTGAACTTAATGACGCTTAATGAAGTAATAAAAAAGAAATATATTTTTGACTGACTCCTTGAAGAACAACGCACCTTGTAAATAATAAGAAATTTTACCAATTCAATTCAAGAAATTTACACTTGTCTTTTTGAAATTTCGAAAAAATTTGTCGAAAAAACACTTACCAATGTTTTCACACATTTTTTTCACTGTTATTTTATCATAATAATAAAATACATATAAAACTCACAATAATAAATTAGAATTTCAAAAACTCAAACACGGTTCATATCAACAAACATTAATGTCACATTTCATGAAATGTCAAAACACTAATAACAGTGTTGCCAAAAGTACTGTAAATGTGATGGCGCCACCAGTACTAAAATACTACACTGCGCTAGGACGCCGAATTTAAGCTCAATTTTTCTGTAAACCCGTAGAACAACTGTCCGGCCAAGCTTTTTGTGTGATGAAAAAGAGAGATTTGTTTGTAAAAACAAGTTTTTATAATATCTCGAAGAAAATATTCCATTTGAAAGAAGAAGAGAGAGAGAGTGTGTGTGACAGAAAGAAAGAAAACAAAAGAATTAAAAAAATAGAAAAGTCTCTTCGTTTCTGTGCATCATTTTAACATAATTTTGTGCTCGCAATAAATGTTGACAAAAATCACTTTCCATAGAGTGATCCCATTACTTTGTTCTGCAAAACGTGAAATTTAATCCATTTAAATCGGTTTCTGTCTAAAGGCATCCATTTACATCTTACCAGCGTATGCCCAATTGTTCTGTAATATATTGAAACCTTTGCCTTCACTGTGTTCGGTGTGCTTGGTGTGTTATGACATACAGGCTGTGCGCACAGTGATAAACGTGTGTATTTATTTATTGAACACGTTATCGGGAAATGAAGCAGCAGCATCGCAAATCAAATATTATGTAATACACCAATCCATTTGATTGTATGTGTAGGAGAACATTTCACAATATAGAGCCTGTTATCGATTCATCGACTTTGAACAGAAGCAGCAGCCACTTGACAGCGATACGTGCTCGCATGAAAGTAATCACTTCAATGAGACCAAGAGCGAGAGAGAATGAACCAACGCATAACTTGTGTCATGTGAGTGCTCAATAAACGAAATAAAA